AAATCGTGCCACTGCACTCCAGCCTGGGTGACAAAACAAGAACCTGTCTGAGGCCAGGCGCAGTGGCTCACGCCTGTAATCCCAGCACTTTGGGAGGCCGAGGCGGGTGGATCACCTGAGGTCAGGAGTTTGACACCAGCCTGACCAACATGGTGAAACCCCGTCTCTATTAAAAATATGTTTTAAAAAATTAGCTGGGTGTGGTGGGTGGCACCTATAATCCCAGCTTCTTGGGAGACTGAGGAGAATCACTTGAACCTGGGAGGCAGAGGCTGCAGTGAGCTGAGATCACGCCATTGCACTCCAGCCTGGGCAACAAAAGTGAAACTCTGTCTCAAAAAGAAAAAAAAAAAAACAAAACCTGTCTCAGAAGAAAAATAGATAGAGACAGAGAAAATCCTCACAGCAATCCTGTGAGATAGGCTTGATGACTATCCCCATTTTAAAAATGATAAACTGAGGCGCAGAGAGGTTAAGTCAATCATACAAGGTCACACAGCTGGTAAGTAACAAAGACAGAATTTGAATACAGTAATCTAGCTCCAGGGCTGCATGGGAAACCCCTGTGGTCTATAGCAAGTTTAAGAGAAAAGCATGCAGGGATATTTGTTATTGATCTTAATGGCCTAGGGAGTTGACAATTGGAATGGCTAGGTAGGAACTTGTTAGATGTGGAGGGAGCAGAGGAGATGGTCATGGGCTTTTCCTGCTCAAGTTGCTCTGTAGGAGGAACTGGGCTAGGGAGTTGTTTCACAATAGGTCCCTGGGGAGCTAGAGGAAGTTAGAAGAAAGCATAAGGATGGAATGATAGTGACTACTATCACGGAGTTTACTGAGTTCTAAGTACTTTCTTGTCTCCTAGCAACTCTATGAAGAAGGTTGAACCCTGACCATTAGTACCCAGGGTGCTGCTTTGGCTGGAAGAATGCCAGGCCCTCTGGACTGTGGTCCTAGGCTGCATCTAAGCAGCAATCTGGGGCAGGCCACAGATTGGCCACAGATTGGTCAGTTCTGTGGTACTGTGTCCCTGCTCCAGCAGAAATCCAGTCCACGTGCTGCTCAGTTTGGCCCCAATTGAAGGTGGCCCATGAAACTAGGTCCTCCGTGATTTTACAGGTCTTCAGGGGCATTGAAGACAGCTAACCTAAGCAGGGAAACAAACTAGGAATGGTGGGATCAGATTGCCTATGGGATTTTGTAGTTAAATCCTAGGCTTTAAAGGGGATAGGCTTGGTTCTAATCCCAGGAAGTCTATTAAATTCTCTCTGCACTGTTTCATCATTTGTAAAATGCAGATGGTGATGACATTCATACCTTTTTCACAGGTAGTACATCAATCAGGCATATAATAAAGTAAGCACTGTCACCTGGCGATCACTCCATTAATAGAAGAGGGTGGTGGTGATAGTGGAGGTTCACCATGCTTTTCAATTCTATAAAATTGGGCCTAGAGAAGATTTCTTAGAGGAAGTGATGTCCTCTCACAGTTAGAGAACCCACATGGGGTGATGGTGTGAGTTGGGGGGTGGCGGGGAGGAGGAGGATGGGGAAGTGAAGTGGTAAAATCTCACCACAAAGACCAGGATGCTGTCATGGCATTGAAGCAGGAGCAGACTGTTCAGAAATCCGAGGTTCTGTAATACCCTAGGGCTGTGTAGAGGGGGTAATTGGAACACAAGACCTTCAGGTGTCCTGTGTTAGTGTTTCACTCTTGAGCAGAAGCTCAAGAGCATGTCACTCTGAAGGATCTAGAGCCACTAGAAGTCATGATTTACCCCATGGTTAGGAAAAGGCAGGGGACAGATATGTGGTATAGCTGGGGTTCACATGCTTAGGAATCCCTAATGGGGACATGTGGGTGAAAACACCCTGAGGGAAGTCCTGGGCAAGGAGGGCTGGGTCCCATGCTGATTCTGGATGGGTGCGGAAGTTAACCAGGAATTATTGCTTTAAAGGACTGGATTACAGGTTTTGCAAGCAGGTAAGATCAGTGACATTATCTGACCTACCTCACGTAAGAGGTTTCCTGGCAGTTGGAGATTTCCTGGGTAAATGATTCTTCTGACTTCCAAAAATAATTAGGTAACTCAGAGATCAAACCGCAAGATAAGCAATCTTTTCTTTCTGAGCTGTTCAAGAGTGATAAAATGTATGTAAAAAACATCAGGGGATTTTGACTTTTCTTATATGCAGCCTTAAGAGCCAATAGCTCCTTTTTGTCAAGCAGTAATTATATTGTTATATTCTGCCATTTTTTAAAAATTGGAGACAGGGTCTTTCTCTATCACCCAGGTTGAACTGCAGTGGTGCAGTAGTAGCTCACTGTAACCTTAAACTCCTGGGCTCAAGTGATCCTTACCTCAGCCTCCTGGGTAGCTGGGACTACAGGTGTGCACCACCACAACTAGATAATTCTTTTTTTTTTTTTTTTTTTTTTTTTTGGTAAAGATGAGATCTTGCTATGTTGCCCAGGCTGGTCTCAAATTCTTGGCTTCAATCTATCCTCC